GAGTGATTATTTTATACGTGGATTGTGGGACTGCGGGGCTTGGTGGAGCCTGGAGAGAAGCCCTCCAGCAACAAACTCCTGATGCAACTGCATCAAATCTAAGGACTCCTTAGTATCACCATACCATGGTTCACTAACATTAACAGGTTAACATCATAATTCTAGCATGAATATTATGTACAGAATTACAATTCTCATAAACTTACATCCAAAAGCAAACTCTTAATAGAACTATTTATACTTCATAGACACAAAATAATTCCACAAACAGTTCCATTCGTACACAAGACAGTTCGAGAGTCACCACAGTTAATAGAGTATATAAGTGTAGGTGAAATCAAAACTGTCTCATTTCTGAAGTCTGAAAAATTCAAAAACTCCTTTCTAATACCAGTCTTCACATTCCACTGAAAGCTCAAGATCAGGGCCTGACTTGCCAACTGCCCCAAAGTCTTTGTATAGCTGTTCAAAACATTATGAATCTGAAGCAAAAAGCTCCAAATACAAAGAAACCCATGACCAAAAATTTGTTGCAGTTCCCTTGAATGCAACAACCCTATTCAAACAAGAGTCTCTGAAATTTGCTCTTAGCTACAACAACACTTTCTGACCAGAAGACTTCCCCTGGGAAATCTACCCTAGAGCAAAGTTGGCATCAATGTCACTGTAGCTGAGTGACTGCAGACCTCTTCAAAATAGCTCTCCTTACAACCAGAGTGAACCAGGATGCCATCTCTGAAAATAGCCATGCATTTGTTCACCACCAGCAAATAGAAACTGTGTAGCTTTAGCTGCTACTTCTGTCTCATTTTGGGTTTTTTTATAGTCCCAGTCCTTCTGTGCCCCTATCTCTGGGCCTGCCAGTCTAGAGACCCTGGTATCCTGAGAACTGAAGGTTCTCAACTGCCTCACACTGCATGGGCTCAAGTTGCCTCCCTGCCAGTACAATCTGAGGCTGCCATTCAACACCCTGGTCCCATTACCTTCTCTACTGGTTGTTTGCACAGTCAAATGCCACCCCCAGGGCGGCTCTATGGTTCCAGCTGCACCCTGCCACTGGGAGCTCAGGCTGGCCTGGGTTTCAGCCCATCTTCTCTCCATTCATCCTGGAGCACAGCTCTGTCTCATCTCAGCAGTTCTCATGCTGCCTAGTGGACTCAGACCCTGCTTATTCCATTACAAGGAGGATTTTAAAACCTCTGCTGCACTCTCCATGCAGTAGTCATTGTTCACCTCTTCCACACTGTCTCTGCTCAGCTTCTCAGGGTTGAGGAACATAGTCCCCAGCTATGTCAGTCTGGCTTTCACAAACATCCCAGCCAACTGTGTTCTCCTCACCACAGTTCCTTCATGGCAGAAGCACACAGACCCTCACTGCTCAAGATGGCTCTCTTGGCATCTGCTGCCTGTGACTCCATGATGCCCCATGGCGCTGATGCTGGACCCAGGCAGCCACTGCTCTCCCTGTTGGTTTCTAAATCTGGAAATCTCTAAAGTGGCTTCTCATTCTTGGAATGCTAGGTTCGCAGTGTGTGCTCAGTCCTGGGTGGTGCTTTCTGTGTCCTTGGTCCCATGGTCAGAAAAATCTATTCTAACCTAAGTTACCTTCTATTCTACCTAAGCCTTCACAATATCCCTATACCTAAAAGATATATTTCTCAAACCACTTTACAAAAACTTTTATGACTTACTTATATTACAACTTTTAAACCTAGCTTAGGAGAGAGAGAGGGAGAGAGAGAGAGAGAGAGAGAGAGAGGGACAGACAGAGAGACAGACAGAGAGACAGACAGAGAAAAAGAGAGAGAATTGCTGCAGCCTAACTTTTACTCTTTTTTGTTAAAATATTACACCCAAAAAGAAAATCACTGCACCCAAATTAATTATCCGAGCATGCCCACTTAACCTGCAGTGTTCCTTTTCTTTATCCTCTGTACTCAAACCCCATATTGGGTGCCAGGATCTGGAGGTGGACCTCAAGGCATCAGGCCTGGCACAGGAACCTTTACCAAACCATCCATCTCACCAGCCTCTAACCTACATTTTAAAAGAGCACTTTAGATAACCATCACCCCCTCTGAAATTAAAGAATTATGCCATGAGGGCTGGAGAGTAAGATCAACAGTTCAGAGCCAGTGCTTCTCTTGCAAAGGATTGCACCCACATGGCAGTGCCCTCTTCTGGTTTCCTGGGGCATTGCATGTATATTGTACACTTACATGACAGCAAAACACAACTACCCATAAAATAGTTATAAACAAATAAATCCTCCATGAAGTAAAGCAGACTGGCTTCCTCCTGCCTTGTCATAGAGGTTTCTTGTTTGCCTTCAGTTACTACCTGGCCCTTCCTTATCCACACTCCATCTGGAAATCTTGCATTGTTTTGCATTATATCCATAGAGATATGCTAAGGTCTGAGAATTGCCTTACAACAAAGTTCAATCATTTGACACATGAAATGAGTCAAGAGAGAAAAATGACAGTATTTAATGTGTGAATTAAACAAAGTTAAAGAAAAAGCCAACTTCA